TGTGTGTGTGTGTGTGTGTGTGTGTGTGTGTGTGTGTGTGTGTGTGTGTATGTGTGTGTGTATACTGGCCAATCATCTCAGACAGGAAATGAGCATATGAAACATCACAGAAACATGGTAACAGCTAACTCTATGTGTATATTGATTCGGTTTTCAGAAGAACCATTAAGCCTTCATGGATTGCCCCTAGAAAGTGCTAACTTCTGAGAATTATCATTCTGAATGTATTTTTCTATCTGAGCTTACATTCCCTCTTAGAGTTCACATATTACAAACATATGTCTTTTTTTTTTCTTTGCATAAAAAAAAATCTCTGGGTCACATTCAAATTTTAGTTTCTGTGCTAAAATTATAGTGCTCTGTGTTTCCTTTAAAAAATCTTTCCCTTTAGCAAAATCTTCAATGCCCTTTATCCATCTTACCTCAAGCAGAAAGGGGTAGTGGAGAGTCACTCTATTAATAAAAGAAAGCAGGTGCTGTTCCCCCGTTCCCGGAGCTTCACAACTCTTGTTCATTCTTACCTTAGCAACTATAGTAGTCCATGGTGATGCTTGAGTTAAGGTACTGCCTTGATTTCCCTCTCTCTTCTTCACTCTCTTATTCTTTTTCATCCCCTCTCTCTTATTTTCTCTCTCCCTTTCCTTCCTCCCTCAACTACCCACCCATTGTAATTAGAATAAAATTTAAACTCCTTGCCATAGGTTATAAGATCTAGCTCCTGCTTGTCTCTCTAACTTCTCAAGCCTCTTTCTCCATTTTGTCTCATGGCTGCCTCCTTTTTATCTTGCTTGCAATGCTTCTCTTCTGAGTTGCTTCTCTAAATAACTAGTCACTTTCATCATCATCATGCCGTTACCCTATCGCTAATGCGATATGCTTTGTTCATATGACTTTATCATGAATTATGGAATTATTTTATATCTGTTTTTTGTTTATTATCTTTTTCCTTTATTAGAATATAAAATCTTCAGTGGTAGAGATTTAATTTGTCTTTTTGATGACTGTATACCTAAAGACTAGAGCAGTTCCTGGCATATGGTAGGGATTTAAATTTTGAGCTTCTGGGTGTATATGGTGCATTAAACTGTGAACTGTGATTATTGGCAAATAAATAGAAAATGTATTATCTCCTGCCCCTACCAAAACTGGGTAAACAGATTTTGGGTGCCCTATTGTAATTGTTTTTTCCAGATGCAACTATTCTTGCCATTCTTACTATTGGGAAAGGGGCCCAATGGTGTCTGTAGCATGATGAAGAGTACAAAATTAAGGAAGAACATGGTACCAAACTGCTTTATAATAATCACATTGCCGTTTGGGAAGGTCTATTAAAATGCAAATGAGAGCGATTAAAATGTTAACTTACATGTGTAGATTATAGGATCCATTGTTATTGATTATCTACATAATAGCTTTCAGACAATAGTGGCTCTCAAACATGTTTTAAGCAGTGGAATTTTTTCAAACAAAAAGCTTACCCAGGATTCCATGTATATATAGGTAAGAGTGACTGATACTCTTTCTGGCTGAAGCAGTGATATTGGAACTGGTACTCTGCCCCCGTGGGGTACCTCTCCCACCCCTCAAGGTGCCCAAAGTACCACCTGACGCCCAGAGAGCTGAAGTTACTTATCCAGTCTTTTTTGTTGTTTTTTGAGGCTGGGTCTTGTGCGATCACTCTGGCTGTAGTGTAGTGGTGTGTCACTGCAGCCTCAAACTCCTCGACTCAAGTGACCCTTCCACCTCAGCGTCCAAAGTGCTAGGATTACAGGTGTGAGCCGCTGCATCCAATCCTCCAAAGTCTTAAAATGATCAACAGCAACAAGACTAAAGACAAACTTCCTGAATTCTGGTGCCCTGTGCTTTTACCTGTCCTAAAAAACCAGATGATAAATACTATAGAATCAGATTAGAGCCTAGTATTGGGAGTTCCTACAGAGCGAGAAAATTTAGAGATTTTAGGGACCCAAGTGTCCTTGCCTAGAATTCTCTGCATGACTACTGGAGAATTGCCTCACGAGACTTCTCTTCTGACCTGGAAATTCATTTAGAGCTTGTGTGTAGTGGTAGAAATAAACAAGCAGGACTGCTTTCTCCAAATATTTATTTTAAAATTACTTTATCACTCTGAATTTTTATACATCAGAGAGAACTTTTACCCATAGGTGTCTGGACTTCCCACTGGAGAAGAGTGGCATGATCAAGAAGCGTAGGCTGTTTTCATGAGTGTTTTTAGTTTTACTTTTCAGTGGAAGCTGAGATTAGAAATACCTCATTTAGCTGAATGGCTGGCTTAGGGATCAGCCACAGCGTAGATTCTCTGCTCGTGCTACTTGGGAATTCAGAGCCAGGCACAGCATCTGGCCTGCTAGTAGACAGTTAATGTTTTTTTTTTTTTTAACTTAAGTGAATGAATTTCAGACTTTTGTGTTATTTAACAAATATAGTTTAACAATATATTAATCTGATTTCTGACTACATGTTGAGGTGGGTGTACATTATTTGTGCCATATGCAATTGTTATGTCCCAGGCATCAACGATACTCACACTGAGATCCTGGAAAATGTCCTTTATGATGAGATATTGAATGTAACCATGAAAGTCACTAAATCTTTCTGCATCATTGTACATCTCCCTGATGTTTTCTGTTTTGATGATAACCATAGTGTCTGGGCTTCTCAGAAGGAGACGCTGAATGGCTTTGTGGACATTGAGGGCCCTTCGGATAAAAACGTCAATGGGAAAGGGTCTGAAATGCTGGCCCAGAGAAATAACAACAATAGTATTTTTTTCTCCTCCAGTTCTGTCAATGGCCCGGGTGAGGTACTCAATCTCTTTGACTGAATAGGTCATTGATGCTATCAAGGGATAACAATGTTTTTGCCACCGAATGTTGATATTCCTATCCAAATCCACAGCAAGTTGGTGTTGCAATTTTCCAGATTCATGCAGATCCACTGACTTCAGCGCTGATAACAAATAGGCGATCCCAAAATAAAAGGAGGATAAAGTTATAGAGATAGAGTAGTTATAAAAGTAGAAGAGATTTGATCAGTAAAATCAAATAAACTAATCATGTCTAATTTATTATAGGTTTTGATGAGGGGATGTTTTTGAAAATTATTTGAACAGTCAAAACTGTTATGCATCTTCTTGGATTAAGATGGTGGATATGAGGCATGACTCCTTGCAGCTTCCACGGCTGCAAGACCTGAAAGTGGGTCACATCACAGGATTCTTTGCAGACACTCTTCAGTACCAACCCAGAGCCCAGTAGCTCCACTGGGTAGCTAGACACAGAAGAGCAAAAACAATCACTACAGTTCAGCTCTAAGGAAGCCACATTCCTAGGGAAAGGGGGATTAAGCCACATCAAGCCAGCACCCTGTAGGACAAAAGAATCTGAACAGCAGCCCTTGAATCTTAGATCTTCCCTCTGACATAGTCTATACAAATGAGAAGAAACCCAAAAACCAATTCTGGTAATACGACAAAACAAGATTCTTGAACTCTTGCAAAACAGCATACAAGCTCACCAGGAATGGGTCCAAACCAAGAAGAAATCTCTGAATTGTCAGAAAAAGGACGTAGAAGGCTGATTATTAAGTTAAACAAGGAGGCACCAGAGAAAGGTAATTCCAACTTAAAGAAATTTAAAACATTATATAGAATATGAAAGGAAAATTCTTCAGTGAAATAGATAGTATAAATAAGAAACAATCACAACGTTTGGAAATCAAGGACATTCTTAGAGAAATGCAAAATGCACTACTAAGTCTCAGCAATAGAATTGAACAAGCAGAAGAAAGAACCTCAGAGTTAGAAGACAAGGCTTTTGAATTAACCCAATCCATCAAAGACAAAAAAAAAAATTTAAAAATGAACAAAGCCACCAATAAGTTTGGGCATTATGTTAAATGCCTAAACTTAGGAATAATTGGTATTCCCAAAGAAGAAGAGAAATATAAACGTCTGGAAAACATAGTTGAGGGACTAATCAAGGAAAACTTCCCTGGCTTTGCTAGAGATCTAGACATCCAAATATAAGGAGCTCAAAGAACACCTAGGAAATTAATCACATAAAGATCATTAATCACATAAAGATCATTGTCTAGGCACATGGTCATAATCATCACGTTATCTAAAATCACGATGGGGCCAAGGGAGGGACAGCAGGGGTGGGGGATAACACGGGGAGAAATGCCAGATGTAGGTGATGGGGGGATGGAGGCAGCAAACCACACTGCCATGTGTGTACCTATGCAACAATCCTGAATGATCTGCACATGTACCCCAGTACCTAAAGTACAATAAAAAAATAATAAAGTCAAGGTGAAGGGAAAAATCTTAAGAGCTGTGAGGCAAAGGCATCAGGTAGCCTATAAAAGAAAACCTATCAGATTAACAGCTGATTTCTCAGCAGAAATCAGAACGGCTTGGGGTTCTATTTTTAGCCTCCTTAAACAAAACAATTATCGGCCAAGAATTTTGTATCTAGTGAAACTAAGCTTCATGAATTAAGGAAAGATAGTCTTCCAGACAAATGCTGAGAGAATTTGCCACTACCAGCCAGCACTACAATGACTGCTAAAAGGGGCTCTAAATCTTGAAACAAATTATCGAAATATACCAAAATAGAACCTCCTTAAAGCATAAATCTCACAGGATCTATATATAATAACAAAATGAAAAAAAAACAAAAACAAAAACAAGGTATTCAGGCAACAAGTAGCACAATGAATAGAATAGTATCTTATATCTCAATACTAACATTGAATGTAGCTGGCCTCATTATTCCACTCAAAACTTACAGAATGGAATAATGGGTAAGAATTTACCAACCAAGTTTCTGCTATCTTCAGGAGAGTCACCTGTTAATAATACATAAGGACTCACATAAATTTAAGGTAAAGTGGTGGAAAAAGATATTTCATGCAAATAGACACCAAAAGCAAGCAGGAGCAGCTATTCTTATGTCAGACAAAACAAACCTTAAAGCAACAGCAGTTAAAAAAGACAAAGAGGGACATCGTATAATGATAAAATAACTAATTAAACAGGAAAATACCACAATTCTAAATATATATACATCTAACACTGGAGCTTTCACATTTACAAAATAATTACTAATAGACCAAAGAAATGAGAGAGATGGCAACACAATAATAGTGGGGAACTTTAACACTCCACTGGCAGCACCACACAGGTCATCAAGACAGTCAACAAAGAAACAACGGACTTAAACTATACCCTGCAACAAATGGACTTAACAGATATTTACAGAATATTCTACCCAGCAACTGAAGAATACACATTCTATTCATGAGCACATGGAAGATTCTCCAAGATAGACCATATGACAGGCCACAAAACAAGTCTCAGTAAATTTAAGAAAATCAAAATTACATCTCTGAGACCACAGTGGATTAAAATTGGAAATCAACTCCAAAAAGAACCCTCAAAACCATGCAAATACATGGAAATTAAATAACCCACCCCTGAGTGATCATTGGGTCAGCAATGAAATCAAGATGGAAATTTAAAAAATTTTTGAACTAAACAATAATAATGATACAAACAATCAAAACCTCTGTGATACAGCAAAAGTGATGCTCAGAAAAGGCCACAGCCTTAAATGCCTACATCAAAAAGTCTGAGAAAGCACAAATAGATAATCTAAGGTCATACCTCATGGATCTGGAGAAACAAGAACAGTCCAAACCCAAACCCATCAGAAGAAAAGAAATAATGAAGATCAGAGAAGAACTAAATGAAACTGAAACAAAATACAAAAATAAATGAAACAAAAAGTTGGTTATTTGAAAAGATAAATAAAATTGATAGACCATTAGCGAGATTAACCAAGAAAAGAAGAGAGAAGATCCAAATAAGCTCAATTAGAAATGAAACAGGAGATATCACAACTGATACCACAGAAATAGAAAAGATTATTCAAGGCTACTATCAACACCTTTACACACATAAACTAGAAAACCTAGAAGAGACAGATACGTACCTGGAAATATACAACCCTCCTAGATTAAACCAGAATTATATAGAATCTCTGAACAGACCAATAACAGGGAGTGAGACAGAAATGGTAATAAATAAATTGTCAACACAAAAAAGTTCAGGATAGATTCACAGCTGATTTCTGTCAGATATTCAAAGAAGAATTGATATAAATCCTATGGACACTGTTCCAAAAGATAGAGAAAGAGGGAATCCTCCCTAAATCATTCTATAGAGCCAGTATCATCCTAATACCAAAACCGGGGAAAGACACAACAAAAAAAGAAGACTACAGACCAATATCCCTGATGAGCATAGATGCTAAAATCCTCAACAAAATACTAGCTAACCAAATCCAACAGCATATCAAAAAGATAATCTACCATATTCAAGTGGGTTTCATATCAGGGATGCAGGGATTGTTTAGCAGACGTAAGCCAATAAATGTGATACACCACATAAACAGAATTAGAAACGAAAATCACATGATCATCTCAATACATACAGAAAAAGCATTTGAGAAAATCCAGCATCTATTATGATTAAAACCCTCAGCAAAATCAGCATAGAATGAACGTACTTTAAGGTAATAAAAGCCATCTACAACAAACCCCCAGCCAACATAATACTGAATGGGGAAAAGTTGAAAGCATTCCCTCTGAGAATTGGAACAAGACAAGGATGCCCATTTTGACCACTTCTCTTCAGCATAGTACTGGAAGTTCTAGCTAGAGCATTTGGACAAAAGAAAGAAATAAAGAGCATTTGAATCACTAAATAGGAAGTCAAACTGTTGCTGTTTGCTGATAATATGATAGTATACCTAGAAAACCCTAAAGACTTGCCCAAAAAGCTCCTAGTACTAGTAAATGAATTTAGCAGTTTTAGGATACAATATTAATATACACAAAGCAATAGCTTTGCTATACACCAACAGCGACCAAGCTAAGAATCAATCAAGAACTCAATCCCTTTCACAGTAGCTGCAAACAAAACAAAACAAAAACAAAAACAAAAACAACTTAGGAATATACCTAGCCAAGGACATGAAAGACCCCTATAAGGGAAACTATAAAACACTGCTGAAAGAAATTATAGATGACACAAATAAATGGAAACACATCACATGCTCATGGGTGGATAGAATCAATATCGTGAAAATGTCTGTACTGTCAAAAGCGATCTAAAAATTCAATACAATTTTCATCAAAATACCACCATCATTCTTCACAGAACTAGAAGAAACGATCCTAAAATGCATATGAAACCAAAAAAGACCCCGCATAGACAAAGCAAGAAAGCAAAAAGAACAAATCTGGAGGCATCACATTACCTGACTTCACACTATACTATAAGGCCATAGTCATCAAGGTGCATGATACTGTTATAAAAATAGGCACATAGACCAATGGAACAGAATAGAGAACCCAGAAATAAAGCCCAATACTTACAGCCAACTGATCTTTGACAAAGCAAACAAAAACATAAAGTGGGGAAAGGACACCCTATTTAACAAATGGTGCAGGGATAATTGGCAAGCCACATATAGAAGAATGAAAGTGGATCCTCATCTCTTACCTTATACAAAAATCAACTCCAAATGGACCAAAGACTTAGTCTAAGACCTGCAGCCATAAGGATTCTAGTAGGTAATGTCAGAAAAACCCTTCTAGACATTGGCTTAGGCAAAAACATTGTGACCAAGAACCCAAAAGCAAATGCAACAAAAACAAAGATAAACAAATGGGACTTAATTAAACTAAAGTGCTTCGGCATAGCTAAACATATAACCAGCTGAGTAACAGACAACTCATAGAGTGGGAGAAAATCTTCACAATCTGTACACCCAACAAAGGACTAATATCAAGAATCTACAAAGAACTCAAGTCAGCGAGAAAAAGATAATCCCATCAAAAAGTGGGCTAAGGACATGAATAGACAATTCTCAAAAAATGCTATACAGATGGTTAACAAACATTTGGAAAAATGCTCAACATCACTAATTATCAGGGAATGCAAATAAAACCACAATGTGATACGACCTCATTCCATATTAAGAAAAAAAGGCCAGATTCAAAAAAATCAATAAATGTTTGTGTGGTTGTGGTGAAAAGGGAGCACTTTTACACCGCTGGTGAGAATGTAAACTAGTACAACCACTATGAAAAACAGTGGAGATCCCTTACAGAGCTAAAAGTAGATCTACCATTTGATTGAGCAATCTCACTTCTTTGTATCTACCCAGGGAAAAATAAGTCATTATACTAAAAAGATGCTTGTACATACATGTTAATAGCAGCACAATTTGCAGTTGCAAAAATATAGAACCAGCCACATGCTCATCAGTCATTGAGAGGATAAAGAAAATGTGGCGTATATATACTATAGAATACTACTCTGCCATGAAAAGGAATGAATTAATGGCATTTGCCACAACCTGGATGAAATGAAAGGCTATTATTCTAAGTGAAGTAACTCAGGAATGGAAAACCAAACATTGTATGTTCTCACTCCTATGCGGGAACTAAGCTATGAAGATGAAAAGACCTAAGAATGATACATTGGACTTTGGGGACTCGGAGGAAAGGGTCAAGGTTGGAGAGGGATAAAAGACTATACATTGGGCACAGTGTACACTGTTTGAGTGATGGTGCATCAAAATCTCAGAAATCAGCGCTAAAGAACTTATTTATGTAACCAAATACCACCTGTTCCCTAAAAACCTATTGAAATAAAAAAAATTTAAAAAGTGTTATGCAATGTAAGAGATTATGTGCATGTCATCTTATAGAATCATGTGGAATCTAATGGGCTAGGGTTGGAAAGGTAGTGAGGTAACTCCCTTGGAGGACTATGTGGTCAGTTTTGTAGGTATTATTTTTCTACATTTTGTTGATTGTAATCTAAGCTCATTTGAGGATAGAGAAAGGTACTCATTGATGGTCTTTACATAAAAAAAAAGCAAGTAAACCTATTTCCCCAGATACTCTTTAAAATCCATCAAGACTGAAATTATATTCTGTACTTCTGTGTTTCCTTCACATATGCATGGCATAATATTAAGTGCCTTTTCTATAAGAATAAGTATTACTAGTCATTTGTGGAGCCCTTTACAATATACAAAGCATTTATTTGGACTGACCTATCCATTCACCTCAAAGATCCTCTCATGTACATTTAATTGACACATGATTAGAATAAAATGAAGTTCTTCCATTTTCATCATATTAATTAGATTTTTATCAGAACATCAGGGCTGCTTTGTAGTTAGAACTTTTGAGGAAAATGTGTAGAGAAGAATTATTGATGCTTTGTAATATAGGATTGTCTTAGAAGGAAAGGGCTATATTTGAAGACTTAACCCAGTGAGGCTGGAAAACAGAAATGCTGTAAAGTGGGTTGGAGGAAAATGGCAGAGCTATTTTCTTCACTCTGCCTTGGACAACTTACTTCAGTTTTATTTTCCAAATCACACTCTGGCCATAGAATTTAACTTTTAACACAGTGTACAACAGATGTTTTCCTATGACAAATTAAAAGATGAGTTGAAGAGGGTAGGTAACTCCATAACTTAGTCCTTTTTATGACCTAAGAGAATCACTGTTATAGAATGTGATGCTAAAGGCTATCACTAGACCCTGAATTTTGTAGATGAGGTAATTGAGGTTACCCTAAGAGTTCAGTCATTTACCAGAGGTCACAATGTAAAGTTCTCTCTTCTGTTGAGAATTTTTCTTAAAGCTTAGAACTAAGGCCCTACCAATTTTCTTGCTTTTATTGGCTCAACTTTCCTTCTAAGTTTGAAATCATGAGTGGCTTCATTTTAGGAAGGCCAGGATGGAGCCACAGCTACTGCATTGCTCTCAGTGCTGAGAGCCAGGGTCTGGGGACATAGAGGGACAGGCAATGGTTTTGTAGGCGAGATTGCTAAGGTCTACTAGCAAATTCTAAGTTATTACTGGTACACTCTTGGTTTAGCAAATAGAGCAACTGGACTAGGATTTTAGCAACTGGATTCTAGCCCTGACCCTTAAATTAACTAACAATAATAATTGCAATGGCTGTTGTTTTCTGGGGCACTTCCTATGTGCCACTGTGCCTTGCAATGTGTTAAATACTTTATATCCGTTACTTCATTTAATCTTCTGTACAAACGCCAGGTAATACTCCTATTAGTCTGTTTGCATTGCTATAAAGGAATACCTGAAGCTGGATAATTTATAAGGAAAAGAGCCTTATTTGGCTGATGGTTCTTCAGGATGTACAAGTGTGGCATCAGCATTTGTTCAGCATCTGGTGAGGGCAGGAAGATTTTAGTCATGGCAGAAGGCAAGGGGAGCCAGTATGTCACATGGTGAGAGAGGGAGCAAGAAAGATGCCAAGCTCTTTTAAACAACGAGTTCTCACGTGAACTGACAGAGTGAGAACTCACTTATTACCATGGTGGCGGGGTGTGGGGGGTAGTACCAAGCCATTCATGAGAGATCCACCTCCATGACCCAAACACTTCCCACTATGTCCCACCTCCAGTGTTGGAGATCATGTTTCAACATGAGATTTGGAGGGAACAATCAGTCAAACTATATCATTATTATTATTCCTGGTCAATTGAGGAGGAACACCAGGCGGGGAAAAAACTAACATGCCCAAAGTCATTGTTTCTAAGTAGCACAGACTAGATAGGTTAGACCTCAAGCCCATGCTTTACTTGTGTCTACTTAATGCAAAGTCTAACTCAATTCTGACATCTATTCTCTTAGATAATGATGACAGTAATGATACCTTACATCAAAGAGAACTTGTAAGAAACAATATTCTAAATGCATTGCATGCATTACCTCATTTTACCAGATAGAAACTCTTTTCAGTAGACAGATGAGAAAACCGAGGAATGGAATGGTTATATAACTTGTTCAAAGTTACCCAGATAGGAGGTGAAGTCAGGTTTTGAACCCAGGCTATCTGGTTCTAGAATCACACCTTTAATCATTTTGCTGATTCTAGAAGCTGGACAATTTAATATCTCAAGTTATCTTTGGCTCCATCAATAGTTTTCTGAGCATACTGGGTGCATATTGAAGTACGAATTCTGCAGAGGTAGGGATATAATAAACCTTTTTATATACTGGTTTCTTTCCAGTTAGATATCCGTATTTCTTTTAAAGGAAGGATAACAATGCCTTGTGAAAAATTTTGGTGTGTTGTGATTGAGAAATATGAAAAAAAAGAAGCATTGCCCATATTCCCTTCTCTACTTTGAAATGGAAAAGAAATTTCTTAAAGGGGTTAAGAATTATAGCTTAGACTGAGGCATACTGTTGATACTGGCTTTGAAGTATTCCATCCACTGGCGGATCGTTGAATCTCCCATTAGATATATGAATTTTCCTCTCAGGCATTTCTTCATTTCGACTGTAGCCAAACTACAGGAGACAGGATTCCATGTGTTTCTCCAGACATACCCACTGGGGATTGTGGCTGTCATTCCAAGCTTGCATTTCTCTTTCATTGCAACTGTTTCTTCTGCCAAAGAATCAGTGAGAAAGGATCTTCCAAAAACATCAAATTACTAATCAGTATTTGTTAAGAGCCTTCTATCCTCTAAGTATCCTAAGAGGGAGTAACGGTGGTGGTAGTGGTGGAAAAAGTCTTATTGAAGTATTCTCTTAACAGAACAGCTGTTTTTTCATAAAAATTTTTCTCTGATGTGAATTTCCTAAATAATGTTCATTAATGTTCATTATAAGAGTATATGTTTCCTCCCAGGGGAAAAAAAAATGGCTTTCTGGGGGAAAATTTAGGTATTTTCCAGCCTTTCTATGAAAATAAAGTCATCAATTCTTGCATAGAATGGAAGCTCAATTATCCTATCATTTTAGCTCACTTTGCCCCCAAGTTTGTCACAATGTAAGTGTCTTAAATGCTACCATCAAAATAAAAATCCTTTGAGTTAAATAAAGGTGATATAAAAAATATTTAACTAGTTTGGCTTGGGAACTGGCCAATCCAAATGAATATAGCTATAGGCTGGAGAGTGTCTTGGAGGTCCAAGATAGTCCAGGGACTAACCCCCTAGTCATTGGCTTAGAAGAGTCTGGGAATCCAAGGGCTGAGGTAGCCAAGACGGTGAGGAGCCCATGGCATGTTTGGGGCAGTGATTATCATTAAACTGAAAGAAGTAGTTTAATATTTTAACAACTAGGATGAGTGTACTCTTGCATGTGTGGTGAAAAATAACATTTCTACATCTAGGTACATATTTACACTTCAGTGTAGACAGGTATATTAGTGATTAGCAAGGTTTTCCTTTTTTTGTGATTAGCTTTAATGCTGAACTTGCAGAGACTTAAAAGCTCTTGCCTTGAATCATTTTAGATAGGAATTTCCTAGGCTATTTGGATTCAAAGGAATTGGAGAGAAACTAGTAAATATAAATGTGGAAGTTCTATTTTGTATGCTAACAATTGTTTGAAAGGTGGCAAAGATCAAGAGGGAAGGATTAAAATAAATTGACACCCAGGTGGCAGGTTGGAAACCTCTAGATGGTGGTAGGCTAGTGGTGATGTGGAAAGAGGTGATGGCAGTGGTATGAAAAGGGGTGTCGTGGGGAGGTAAAGAACTGAGTATAGAATTGGAAAAGAGTTAAAGTTTAAAAGTTGTATAAAATGGGCAGGTAATTCATTGTCTGACAAATAGACTCATGATGAGAGTTACAGTTACTAAAATAGGCTTAAGATATCCCAGTGATTCAATTATTCACTCACCTAGATAACTGGTATCTTGGCCAACCTTAGATAAGCCAGATGAACAGAGTATGATAAGACTGAAACAGTGAAAAAGTCAAGTAGAAAGAAGAAGCCCTTTAAGTGGGTCTAGAACTAGGCACCACCCACCAAACACACGGATACTTACTGTTGCATTTGGAGACACTAATTGTATTGAATTTTTCCATAATCTCTACACCCACATTTGACCTTAAAAACACAAAAATGGAAATTAATCTGTCGGTGGCCTCAAATCAGGAAACATACAGAAGCTAGATTATCCAGTGCTTCAGTTATTTCTTAGAGATAAGTCAATTATTCTACCTTCAATTTCAGGTCATTTAGTAAATTTCCATTTCTTTGCCTATTAGGCCATGGGATACAGTTACTCAGAAAGTATGCAAGAGGATTTATAGAGATGCAGAAAAAAACAGAGTGAAGCTGACCAGGTATGTGCCATTGTTGAAGTCAGTCACCTTTCCTGAAGCACCTGCCATTAGGGCTGGGGAGGACATCCTGGCTCTCAGGAAATCCCCATGTATGTGCACACACACATATACATGTGCATTTGTCATTTTCTTTTAGTTTTTATTCTGTATTTATTTTTTATCTCTTTGATAAAAATTAAATATTCAAAAAGTTTGTGGTTTACTAGAGGATGGGCACTGTCTTTAAATGAATTCACAGATCCTTTCCCAAAAGGCTCTTGCTAAAGACACCCAAAGTTGATACACACACGACATTTCTTTGGATCAGTATATAGGCCAAATCACAATATTTGCACAGGTAATCTCAAGAAGTAATTATATTTACCTTTCAAAGAGGCTCTTTTCTTGTTTGCTAAGATAAGAAACTTGCTTGTTCTTAGAATACATGTGGGTGAGTGCAGCACAGGGTATGTGTTGAGGCCTCATGCAGTAGAAGGCTTCTTGGTCTCTGTTGTCCATGTACTGGCACAATTCGGCACTTGTCTTTAGGATCAGGCCACATTCAGAGTGGACCTGGGAGGTGCCATTGACAAACTGGCCAATGAAGATTACCCTGTCATAGCCTTGGTTCCTTGCCCTCCAGAGAGCCGACACCCCTTCACTGGGGTGGATGAGCAGCAGAGACAGAGAGACCTGGCCCTCCCAGAAGAGAGTGAAGCTGATCAGGTAGGTGCCATTGTTGAAATCAGTCACCTTTCCCGAAGCACCTGCCATCAGAGTTGGGGAGGACATCCTGGCCCTCAGGAAGTCCCCGCCATATTGCTTCCTGTGTCCCAAGTGGTCCCTCATCTCCAGCAGGATGTCCAGCTGGTCCCCCCTGCAGTATGTGTCTCGAGGGTTGAGGATGGTGGCTGTGCTGTGTGTGGCACTGCTGGTGGTGTTCACATGATCGAAAGGTCTGGGTGGGATCTGCTGGTCTAGTTTCTCCATGATTTCCTTTATTCTCAGTTCAGTTTCTGTTAGTGACTTTAATGGTATCAGTGGTATTTTAGGGAATATGGACTTTGTGGAGTTATCCCAGTAATGGAAGGAGATAGATAAGTTTAGAGCAGACCAAAGCTGAAATGACAGCAAATGTGACATGAGATGGATAAATTTAGAGCATACCTAACCTGAAATGACAGGAAGTATAAAATGCCATGAAATTAACCTGTTCCTAGTCATTTTTACTTATTATTATTTTGAATATTTATTTACATACTATTATCAATATTATTTAAATTATCCAATAAAAATACATAGAATGGAGACTGACGGACGGGGGGACAGAGGGACAGGAGGTGAGCAAGATGGTTGCAGAAAGTCTGTTACTACTACGACAGGGATGTTGGCAATTACTTTTATGGACAGGTTAACCCAAAAAAGCCTCACTGAATCTACACAACTCACAGTTTGTTGCTCAACTATGGTTTCTACTGAAAAATGGAAACCCATCACCCTCACAAAGCCAATGCTGAGGAGATGACCAAATACCACAGTGATGACTACATTAAATTCTTGTGTTCATCTGTCCCGATTACATGTCTGAGTATAGCAAGCAGGTGCAGAGATTCAACATTAGTGAGGACTGTCCAATATTTGATGGCCTGTTTGAGTTCTGTCATTTGTCCACTGGTGGCTCTGTGGCAAGTGCTGTGAAACTTAATAAGCAGCAGATGGACATTGCTGTGAATTGGGCTGGGGGCCTGCACTATGCAAAGAAGTTCAAGGCATCTGACTTCTGTTATATCAATGATACAATCTGTGCCACTCTGGAACTGCTAAAATATCACCAGAGGATGCTGCATGTTGACGTTGATATTCACTATGATGATGGCATGGAAGAGGCCTTCTATATTATAGGCCAGGTCAGGACTACATTCTTTCATAAATATGGAGAGTACTTCCCAGGAAATGGGAACCTATGGGATACTGGGGCTGGCAAAGGCAGATATTATGCTGTTAACTGCCTGCTCCTAGATGGGATTGATGATGAGTCCTATGAGGACATTTTCAAACTGGTCATGTCCAAAGCAATAGAGGTGTTCCTGTCTAGTGTCATGGTCTTATAGCATGGCTCAGATGCCTTGTCTAGGGATCAGTTAGATTGCTTTAATCTGACTATCAAAGGGCATGCCAAGTGTGTGGAATTTGTCAAGAGCTTCAACCTGCCTATGCTGATGATGGCAGAAGGCGTTTATACCATTTATAATGTTGCTCAGCGCTGGAAATAAGAAATAGCCATGGCTCTGGATATGGAGATCCCTAATGAGCCTTCGTACAATGACTACTTTGAATACTTTGGATCATATTTCAAGCCCTACATCAGTCCTTCCAATATGACTAACCAGACACTAATGAGTACTTGAGAAGATCAAACGACAGCTGTTTGAGAACTTGGTAATTCGGTCCCATCCATCTATAGTCCAAATGTGTGTGATTCCTGAGGATGCCATCCCTGAAGAGGGTGGTGATGAGACTGAAGAAGACCCTGACAAGCTCATCTCCATCTGTTTCTCAGACAGATAAATTTCCTGTGAGGAAGAGTTCTTCAGCTCTGATGAGGCGGGAGAGGGCAGCATCAAGATCTCTCCCATCTTCACAAAATACAAGGAGGTTAAAACAGGATGAAAAAGAGAGATTCAGAGATGAAGAAAGAAGTCACAGAAGAGCAGAAAAACCAAGGAGTAGAAGCCAGAAGTCAAAGAGGTCAAGGAGGAGGTCAAACTGGCCTGAGGAAACCTCTCCAGCTCTGGCTTCCTGTCTAGTTCCCAACATTTCCCTCCCAAACCCTCAGATTTTATGTTTTATGTTTCTCTGTGTATTCATATAAAATTTATTAAATATAAATATCTCCAGGGACTAGACAGAAATCAAGACCCTGAGCCCAGGGCAGCTGTGCTGGGTGAACTCTTTTAGGAGCTATCTTGCCACCCATCCCTCTCCAGGTCTTAGCATAAAGGGTGCTAGGTCTGGGTGAAAGGAATACTTTTGTGCAAGCATAAGAAAAAATCCTGAAATGCCAAGTGCCTGCTTAGTAGCTTTGGAAAGTTGCCTTTATTGTGCTTTCTAGAAGGGGTTGCCCTGTTCTTTTCAGGCTCCTAAGGTAACATCAGCCATTTTTAGATTGGTTCCATTCTCATATCTTCTCAGTGGTCTCAAGTGAGCCAAAAAACTCACACTGCCTGCTGTCTGTCTTCTCCCAGTTCTGCAGGTGGAGGATGGTGGTCTAGTTTCCTGCCATCCTCCAACTGCAGAATTGGGGGAGTTTTGAGATACTATTTTTATTTTTGTAAGACTCTGTAATAAGATGGTATATTTCTATACTCTCTACCCCAAAGACATAGAATGGTTGAGTAGATTATAAAAAAACAAGACCTAACTCTGTCCTGTCTAGGAGAGATTCACTTCAACTTTAAGGACACACATAGACTGAAAGTGAAGTAACAGAAAAAGATATTCCGTGCAAGTAGAAACTGAGAGAGCAGGAGTCACCATACTTATATCAGATAAATTACACTTTAAGTCAAAAACTAAAAAGAGAAAAAGAAGGTCATTATATAATAATAAAGGGATCGATTCATCAAGAAAAAATAACATATATACATTCAACATTTAGAGGACCTAAATATATAAAGGAAATGAAACAAGAGCTAGAAAGAAATTATTTAGGTAGACAGCAAGGGTAAAGGAGTCCTTGGCAAGGCTTCCCTTTTAACAGAAAGGATCCCCCAAATCATTTCTTTTCTAACAATGAGAAGCCTGAAAAATTGAGCTGCAAACACAGATAAGCAAGCTGGAAGCTTGGATGGGTGAATGCTGGCAGCTGTGTCAATAGAAAAGGGCTACCTGAGGGCCAGGCATGTTCAACATGGAGGCTCTGTCTTCCCTTTTCTTTGTCACCACGTGTACAGTAAAAAAGTTGGCAACATGTTGCTGGCCAGGTAGAGAACCATCTGCATAATAAAAGATTAGATTGGGGCAGCCAGCTTCTTTGTGTGCTATGCAAATAGTACACTTACTCCTAACCAGTTATTTGTGTGCTGGTGGCATCCTGGTCTGACCAATCTTTCTTGCCCTGTGTAAATCAGACACTTCCTCCTCAGGCTCATCTATAAAATATCCTGCACTTCACTGTGGACCAGAAGACCCACTCAGGACTCCTCTCTCTGCAGAAGAGAGCTTTTCTCTTTCTTTTGCCTATGAAATCTCTGCTCTTAATCTCACTCCTTGTATGTCCACATCCTTGATTTCCTTGGAGTAAAACAATGAACCTAGGGTAATTGTGAGGGCCCACCTGGGATCTGAGGTAGATTCATTGGAAGGGTGAGAATAGGAGCAGACCCCAAGTCTTTCTTTTCATTTCAAGGCCTTCTGCTTTCCATTTTAAAATCAAACCAAATACTGGGCCCCCATCAGCCATTTAAAAACAGCATGGCTTCCAGCCTTACAAGACTCAGGGGATAGGCTTGCTGGGGAGAACTTAGCTAATCCCGCAGTGTTCTTAGGATGGTGGGAATGCTGGCTTTGTTTCAAATTGATTTCCTTTTACAGAGAGCCTAGCTGTCCTGTGGGGCTGGAAGAGGTCAAGAGGTACTGAGGGTTCCTGGCCAGGGAGACACCTGGTGTTACCTGAAGCCTTCTGGACTAATTCCAGCCTCCAACAGCCTGATGGGTGATGGCAACAGGACTCCAAGTTTTTTCTATTGCAAAATTTCTCCTTTCCTATCTGCAACGACCATGTCGTCTATCCACTCTGTATGCAATGCTGTGAGAATTTTTACAGCTCAGTGAAGTAATCCTGTTAGGCAAGATCAGGAAATGCCATAGTTCCTGGGAATATAGCTCAGGGGATTGCCGTTTTTGTGATTTTCTAGGCACAGAGGGCCTCCTCCCTTCCTCCCACCCTCCTGAACATCTCTCTCTTTACCATTGGTCTGGACAGCACATGGTATTTCAAGGTCAACATCACCACCTAGTGGAATAGGAGCCCTATCCCATAAGGGACATTGTTGGCCCTTTGCTGAAACACTGTAGCTTCCCAGTTCTCCCTTTCTGTGCTCCTCTACTGGAGACCAGGCTTTATACTCCTGTGAACCGGAAAACTCTGCCTTCAACAATGAGGAGAAAAAAGTCCTCCAAAACCAAATTTTAGTCTCAACACTGTCCCACTTTCTTTTAAGTTTGTTTCCTACTTTTTTTTTTACGGTACCTATTCTGCCTCCAGTTAAAGTGATACTTGAATAATAAGGGGATTTTAATTCCAGAAGTTAACCAGAGAATAAATACTGTAGTACAGGCCATAATAGCAAATTGTAGAGCTCAAACCTACATTCTCTCTCCATTAAAGGGCATTGCCCAAATGCAACTGTTAAGTAGTCTCTCTCAAGATCCATCTATTGAGGAGTCATGCAGATCACACAGGTCCAGGAAGTTGAAGGGAAATTACCAGCAGACGGCTAGAGTCACAAAGGTGAGCGTGAGTAATCCCAATTGGTTGGTTCCTCTGGTTCCATAGCTGAGGGTTATGCCTGCATCCATGGGTAGCACCTTCAATGAATGCCAGGGCTCAGGGAGCCAAGGAGGTAAAACAGTTGAGGGTATGCCTCCACTGTCTTCCCCTCTGCCCTGGGCCATTCCAAAGGAAAGCAAGGCAACTAAAGGGACACCTATTTTCTTGCTTCTCTTCCTAGATGAATAACAGACTATCTTTGGTCTGCACTCCTCTGGAATGCATTCTGAAGCACTGGGATTCCTTTGACCCTGAGACTCTGTACAAAATGTGGCTCATTTTCTTTTGCACAAGGGTGTGGGCTGCTTACCATCTTGAACCAGCCTAGCCTGCAGAGGGAAGCCTTGATTTTAATACTATCCAACAATTAGATCTTTTCTGTAGACGGAAGGGCAAATGGTCAGAAGTCCTCTTATATACAGGCTTTCTTTGCCCTGTGAGACAGCCCAGAACTTTGCAAGCATTGCACAATTGACTCAGCTCTTTTAGTAGTCATATCAGGAGGGCCCAAAGGGAATGATTCCCCAAAACTAGAGAAGCTACTTCCAGGGGAACTATCTGAGGCAGC